CATAGAAGGAGAGAACATGTTAGTGGCTGAGTTGTTTGAACCTAACTCTAGAGAATGGAATGTGAAAAAGATCAGATCCACTCTACCTGCATATGAGCATGACATTCTGGCCCTAAAGCCAAGTCTGTGTGGAGCAGCTGATGACTATGCATGGCTAGGGACTCAATCAGGTAACTACCTAGCAATGTCAGGCTACTATGCTACCAAGGAACAATATCAGGTATCAGAACACACGAATCTGACCAATAGGGCCTTTAACTGGAATGCGAATGTATGGAATATACTCACCGCACCAAAGATAAAACTTTTCCTCTGGAAATCACTCAGTGGTGCGCTACCAACCGGAAGCCAACTAGCATCGAGATGAGTCTCATCCCAAAGCCAATGTACCATATGCGGCGCTCCGGAGACACCACAACACATCTTCTTCACATGTGAATTTGCCTAACAGGTTTGGAATCTTGTGCCTCTGAAAGAACCAATCAACGTACAGGAGATCCCCAACATAGAAGCAAGACTCACAATGTCAAACACTCTCACCTACCTTCCACCAACGGGACTGTGTGGACAAATTTTCCCCTGGGTGTGCTGGAACCTCTGGCTGTCTCGAAACAACTTAATCTTCAACAGCCGATCAATTTCCGCACAAGACACGATCCACAAGGCCATATGCGAAGCCAGAGAATGGACTCTTCGCAAATCAGCAGAATTTACAGATGGGATCCCAACCTCGACACCAAATCGAAGTCCCTCCTCTGCGGATCCGACAACCTCACCTGTTTTACTGATGCAGCCTAGGTAATCGAATCAAAACTGGCAGGACTCGGATGGATTTACCGTAGTCAAGATGGCCGAATCGAATTTCAAGGATCTAAGGTAGCTTCAAACGTTGCTTCACCTCTAATGGCGGAAGCTTTGGCGGTAAGGGAAGCTCTTCTATATGCAAAAACCACAGGACAAAGAGCATTCCGCCTCGCCTCCGACTCCAAATCGCTCATCACGATCATCAACTCCAAATCCCAGAACTTAGAACTTTTTAGGATCCTCCGAGACTTTGCTCAATTATCTCTCGATCTAGGAATCAAATATTTTGTTTATGTGCCAAGAGCACAAAATTGTACCGCCGATGGTTTAGCTAAATCTGCTTTATCCACTGTACCGAACTATCCGGTTTAATCCAGTTTTCATCAATTGAAATTTCCCCTTTGATAAA